CTTCCTTTTTGATATGTGAAATTACAGCCTATTAAAGTAGTTATTCAGAACTTGAATCTCTGAATATTTTTTTTATTTCACTGCCAAGTGGCTTCTCTTTGGCTCTACGGCCTTTAATGTTCTAAGCATACTGCTAAAACAATTTGATTGTGTATGAGCCTCATCCACATGCCTTAGGCGTGTCCGTATCTCATTTCCCGTAGCCTGAGAGCTTTTACTGTATCCTGCAGATTGCCTACAGCGCATTAACTGATGAGAATCCAACATCTGTGGAATAGATTTCAACATACTCCGTCACGTTTTCTCATGGAATGTCTGAGCCGATCATAACTTATTTTAACTGAAAATTATTGGCAAATGTTTTACACCTTCGATAGCGGATATAAATTAGACCGAAATACCATACTTTAATTAAACCCGTTCTCATGGGAGCTATCTAATCCCTTTGGCGCTGGCAATTTGCACGTGTGCGTGTTATCATGGTCAATTAGCTGGGAACTGTTGTTTCAGTGCTGGTTTCTGAAATCGATCACAGTCATAAATGTTCTAATCTCTGTCGAAGTGTAACTTCTAATGTTCTGAGTTATTGAACTGAGCTCATCTGTGCAGGATGGAGAGGAGAAGAATGGGAAGAGTGTCTGGGTTGCTCAAAATTGTATTTCAGGTTTGCCAGGATTAGTCATCTTGCTGCATGTTCCGATATGGGAAAGTGGTCAGCTGCAAAAGACGTTTCCCCTTCTTTCCCATGAAAAGCGCAGTTTCATTTAGCTTTTGAAGTCTGATCCAAGCAGTGAACAGGTTGTAGCAAGCTGACCAATAATTACTATATTCAAGAGAAGGACCATCTTTAATGGAACTTCATTGGGATTCTCCAACCCTAAAGGGAACATATAATAGTTTTTGAGGTGTAGTGCTGATCCTAAAAAGGTAAAGTATTGTATCCCCCTCAATGGGAGTATATTTCCTATATGCTGGGTTAAGATCCCCGGAACACCATAAAAACCTTCCCACACTACAGGACACCTTCCTCATTCTTAGAACCAAGAAAATGAATGAGACGATCCTTGGGAGTCCTATAGTCCTACAGAGCGCCCTTCCTTGAGAAGTGTGGGTCATCTCATTCATTTCCTCAGTTCTATGAAGGAGGAAGGCGTCCTGTAGCACAGGAAGGTTTTTTTGGTGTTCTTAACCCAGCATATAGGGAATATAATCCCATTGAGGGGGTTACAATACTTTAGTTTTTTAGGATCAGCACAACACCTCAATGTTTACATGAATTTACACATTCTAGTTAGAGTGCGATAGGTGTTAGCAGCAGCCCTTACCATTGCGCAGTACCAATTTTATTAAGTATAATAGTTTTTGTAGGTATTTTCTGTATTATGGTCAGATCTAAAAAAAAATGTTTAATGTTCTCACTTTTTCCAGGTTATTCCTTTTTTGCTTTTCTGGAAAAAAGTTTGCAGAAATTAATAGCTGGTGCTGGAGCTCATATTTACAGACCTCTAAATGGGTCAGAGGAGTGACTCTACTCCCTGCCTAATTCTTCCTGCAGGGGGCGGAGTCACTGCAGACAGCTTGGTCTGGAGTTCTTGGCTAGCCAAAGGCCCACATTTTGTCCAATTCTTGATGAATTGGCTGAAATATGAGTCTTGGGGGTGATCCTGTCGGAAGCAACTGGCTTGATAAAAGTTGATTTATAAAGAAAGGCAGTCTGGTAAAAAAAAAATTGTTGGCAGAACGTCCAATCAAATGCAGTCACTGTTCGGGTATCCTGGCAATCAGGGGTGCTGCAGCTGTCTGAATACAATAGCTGGAAGCCAAGATTCCTCCATCCATATTGATTAGCATTGGCGGGGGAATCAACTGGTTTTTTTTTGTTTTTTTTGTTCAGCCCGTGTCTTCCTTTAAATGTCTTCCACCATTCAGCTGAGTATTGGGAACATTTCTAAGCATTTATACCTACATGGGCAACTCAGGGCAACCATCTGCCAAATATAATGCTGCTTTTACATCCTGGGGAGATTTGACAACATTTGACACCCTTGTTCATACAACTTTAACAAGTAACACATGTTCCAGACTTCAAGGCATTATAGTGATTGGATTGTGTCATTAAACAGGGAGGTTTCACAATCTTTCCCACCTCCTGTTATGTCATTGAATAATCAGAATCTGCCTTCACACCTTGGCACAGTAATGATTAGATTGTGTACATTTTCACATCTCCTATCATGTTCTTAAGGAAGCAATATCGGAGTTCCGTGTGTGGTCATAAATGCTCTGGTATGTTCCTGGGACTCATTGGAACTCATTGGATTACTTTAATATTACACAGCAAGTCCAAATTGTAACTGATCACTTAAATGAAACGCTTCACAGATGGTGCTTTTTGAACCCTGTGTCAAGGGTGCACCTAATATTAAATGTTAATTTTGTAAAATGGAGACTTCATGTTGTAAAATAAACATAAAAGTAGTATTAACAGTTTTTTTGTTATTAAAAAATGTTGGCATTCGCAGTCTGGTGTGCTTGGAACTCATTGCTCATACACAGACCTGAGATTGGTGCATCACCCTCATCCAACCATGGCGACTACGCCGGGACAGCATTTCTCTTCTCCTATAAGCCATCTGGCTGGTGGTGCTGTGCTTTAGAATCTCTCTCTACCATAGAGTATAATGGAAAGGAGAGATATTAGGCTTGGCCTAATGAAAAAAATTGGAGTGAACTACTTTATGTTCAACTCCCAGTTTGTTCCACTTTTTTGGAGCAGCTATTGTAATGAATACCACACTTTACAAAAAAAAAACCCCCAAAAAACCCCAAATAAGTAGTCATGTGACCTGAGAAAGCAGATCTAACCAGAAGCTCCTGTTCAGCCTCTAAGGCTCCATGCGCACTGGCTTAAAAAACCACCAGTGCTCTTGGCAGATAAAACGCTGATTTTGAGCGTATTTTGTACTGGTGTTTAAGAGCATTTTTGAGCTTTTAGCATTTTTAGATCGGGTTCAGGACAGGATTAGATCCGGTTCAGGACAGGATTAGATCCGGTTCAGGACAGGATTAGATCCGGTTCAGGACAGGATTAGATCCGGTTCAGGACAGGATTAGATCCGGTTCAGGACAGGATTAGATCCGGTTCAGGACAGGATTAGATGCGGTACAGGACAGGATTAGATGCGGTACAGGACAGGATTAGATGCGGTACAGGACAGGATTAGATGCGGTACAGGACAGGATTAGATGCGGTACAGGACAGGATTAGATGCGGTACAGGACAGGATTAGATGCGGTACAGGACAGGATTAGATGCGGTACAGGACAGGATTAGATGCGGTACAGGACAGGATTAGATGCGGTACAGGACAGGATTAGATGCGGTTCAGGACAGGATTAGATCCGGTTCAGGACAGGATTAGATCCGGTTCAGGACAGGATTTTTGATACAGCTGTGAACTCTGTGTCTGAGAGAACTGTGCTGAAATCCTGCTCACAATTTATAACCTGTGTGGTGCAGAAGCCTTCCCGTAGAATGAGACTGTAATCCACACCTGAACCAGACCGCACTGCTCAGAAATTGGATAGGACTCTTTTGGAATTCGCACTGAATCCACACTGCCGGCGCACTGCAGATATGTGAACAGGCACAATAGAAACCAATGTTATTTCATATGTCATGCGAATTGGATGCGGTTCTAAACTGCATATATGTGAACCGGCCCTGGGTTCAGCTACCTAAGTGCCCGTTCACATATATGCAGATTGAATGCTGTGTGAACCGCATCCCATCCGCATGACATGTGAAATAACATAGCTTCCTATGGTGCCTGTTCACATATGTCCGGTGCACTGGTGGTGCGTATTCAGTGCGGTTTTAAAAAGAGTCGTGTCCGATCTCTGAGCAGTGACTTCAGGTTCAGGTGCGGTTTGAGGCTACTGATGTCTATGGGTACCGTTCCTAAACCGCATATGTGTGAACAAGATAAGATCCTGAACTACTCCTGTCCTGAACCTGATGTGAACTGCTGAACAACTACTGTATCAATTTGCTGTGAAGCCTGAGCTTCAATACGCACCACATATGTGAATTTTAAACAGACTTGTCAGCCAAGTCAAGTGTTTCCCATGCCTACATATACCAGGTAAAAAGCCAATGTAAAAACTACTGATCCTACCTCTGTTGCTTCACCAGTATGGGGACTAGAGAAGCAGACTGAAATAGAAATCAATAGGATCAGCATTAGAGTGTTACTAACCCCACAACAGTAAAATCAGTCTGTATATGCAGTAAAGCATGCTTGTTATACTCACTGTGGAACCCAAGGGGTTAATCCTCCACATTGTATAAAAAGGCTGCTTGATCCTGTCTTCTTTGATCCATCTCTTCTTCTACTGTCCCCAATCCATCTGCTGATAGTACAGAGATCTAGAAGTCACACTGCAAATGCTCAGTTTAGTGTGTATTGCTAAAGAGGGTTTTTTTCTTTATGAGGGTGCATGTGATCAGCACGGGGCCAATCGGCACAGTCCAGACAGAGAGAGAAAATCTTACTTATTTATCTATATCATAGGTATCATGTTCTATTTAAGCACTTAGGAAGAGATTGACTATCATCTCAAAATGCGTCAAGTGCTTTTTTATGATCCATATTCCATCTTTCCTGCCTGTACAGATATGTAATGTATATCCGCCACATTTTGAATGTCTGTGGAAATTTTAAAGCATTCTATGTTTAATAAAGGATGGTCTTATACGTTTTGGTGAATCTAACATTTTTTGCTCTGTTTGTGCCATAAAAATCCCATAAAAATTCACTGTCCAGACAAATGGTCAGGGGTCCTACAGCCTCATAGGACAATCAGAGGAGAATGAAAACTCCTCCTACAAGCTTTAACCAGTGCTTTGCTGGACACTGCTAGCAGTAATAAGACTGCTATATACTACTGATGAGAAAAGGTATTTAGCAGTTTATATTTACTAAATTAATTGCATTTCCATGTTGTGTGTACTGTGGGAGACCAGATATAGTGGATGCAGGGTGCGGGGAGAGCAGATATAGTGAATGCAGGGTCCTGGGAGACCAGATATAGTGAATGCAGGGTCCTGGGAAACCAGATATAGTGAATGCAGGGTCCGGGGAGACCAGATATATTGGATGCAGGTCCGGGGAGATCAGATATAGTGAATGCAGGGTCCGGGGAGACCAGATATAGTGAATGCAGGGTCCTGGGAGACCAGATATAGTGAATGCAGGGTCCGGGGAGACCAGATATAGTGAATGCAGGGTCCTGGGAGACCAGATATAGTGAATGCAGGGTCCGGGGAGACCAGATATATTGGATGCAGGGTCCGGGGAGACCAGATATAGTGAATGCAGGGTCCGGGGTTTAGTGACACTTTAACAGTGCAACCTTCCCTTTTGAGGATCTCTGTGTGCTGTTATTTAGTTGTATTCTCTCCATCAGTTCAGATATGTCAGCATAGTGTGCGTCTGCAGAGCCCCATATAGACTGACCTTTCTCCATCCAGAGCTCAAGGATGATGTTTGGCACCCTGTGCCAGCTTTTATTGGTGTCGGAAGGGTTTTGTATTCTCATACAATTCTATGGGATTGCAAAACCCGCTTGAAGCAGCTCAGCAGGAGGTCAACTGCAAGTCAAATGTGAGTGTCAGAGGTGTCTCAAACTGATGCTATCGACCAAAGCCCACCGACACTAGTCCTAAATCTGTCAGTAGTCATGTTATGCTGTCAGCAAAGTTGTTCCATGACCGGTTAATGAATGTGCATGTGCTATATGCTGTTTGCTGCTGGTTTAGTGAAGAGCCACTAGTGCTGGAGTAGGCCGCTGGCTGATCTGAAGTGTGTACTGGGCTATGTGTATGGAGCAGGGAGGGCAGTTGGCCTGCCTTCTATCAGGTCAGACAGGTGACCTGGGCTGCTGTTAGAAACCACGGGGCCCCATACAGCCGACCTGACAGGGCCCCCTTTAAAAAAAAAAACCCATAGTTTACGATGCCTCAGTTATGAACATGAGTGAACGGTACCAATCACTCATTGTGTTCATTCAGGAAAGAAAGGGGCTGGTAAATGTGACCTATTTACTGGGGCCATCCCCCACTCTCCATTCTGAAGGACTCTATTGTGTGCTTGCAGCTGGGGGTGGGAGCACAAAGGGGGGGGGGGGGGAGCCTGCGCAGCAGAGGGGAACGTATGATGCACAGGGAGGGTGATGGGTGCCGCGGGGGAGGGGGAGCAATTACTGGAACCAATCCCCTGTATGACTATCTCTATAGCAGCTGGGAGGGAGAGGAGAAGAATCCAGCTTTCAGCTGCTGCAAGAAGAGCCATACAGGGGATCGGTTCCAGTGATCCCACATCATGCTGATTACCCTCCCTACCAACATCCAATTCACCCAGATGCCTGGGCCCCCCTGCTGGTCTGGTCCCCGTACAGGAGGACTGGTGTTACCCCCTTATCCACGGCCCTACAGGTGACTGTACTCCTGTGAATGTGCAGGACCCACGCTGGACAATAAGGAGTCCCAACACACCTGCCCGGGGTCCAGCGATGTGCTCACCCATGCCGTCCCTTCTCTCATTCTTCTCTCCACAGTGCCAGCATCTCAACTGTGGGCACCAGGTTGTGACAGCCTGCGGCTTCACAGCCGGGTGCCCACTGCACATGCGTTTGTCTCGCTGCGCATCCTGATTGGTCCCGCAGTATTCTGAGATTTGTGAAGGTTCCCAGGAGACTGCGGGAGGAAGGAGGGGGCCGAACTTCCGGCTCACTTCGCCACAGCAAGCTGAGCCTGAAGCGGGAGTGGGTACCTGTCAAAACCAGGTGCCCTCTCCTGTCCAAAAGGTGTCAAATATAGCACTGGAGGAGGAGGGGGGGGGGAGGCAAATAAGCGGAGCTTCCGTTTTTGGGTGGAACTCCGTATAAGCAGGTGCAGTTAGCTACTTTGCCAGTAGGTGGCTGTGTACCAGAATAGTGTCTGATTATAGCAGGCAGTGTCATCAGGTGCTAGGCCCCTTTTAGGTGGAGCCTTCTTGCAGTGATGTCAGGGGTGAGTCAGCATCCATAAGCCTGGTAGGGAGGAGCACAGACACACTTGGGTGGATGTCCCCAGCACATGTAGGCCCTGGACAAGGCAGGAGGAGTAGACCTGCAATCAGGAAGAGCTAGCTGTAGTCTTTCTGTTCCTTATATAGGTGGGGGCTGGGGTGGATTGCAAAAGGCCAAGAGTTCCCTGCAGAATGTACCTAGTGAGGGGGTGACTACAGAGAGCATAGTCTTGTGAGTACTAATGACCCCGGAGGGAGGATAGACTGCAAGGAAGATGGCTGCTAAAGGTGCTGCATATACGTGCACATGTGACTACGGTGGACCGTCTGCTAAATGTGGTTGACTGTGTAACGTCAAGCGACTCTGGATTGTGTGCCGATATGATGTGACCATTATGCCATTTCCAGAATTCCATCAGTAAACTGCAGCAAACTACTTTTATGTGTAGACATTCCTTCCTTTGGGGATATAAAGGTCAATGGCCGGGAGTGTCATGTGGAGGCCTCTGGCATTGAGTGGGACACAAGATGGCGGAGGTTCGACCTCAGGGAGAGGGGCAGTGTTCTAGCAGGACAAGAGCAGAGGTAGGGACTTGTGCTCTTGGCGCCAATTCTAGCCAACTGAGAAGCCCCTCTTACAAACACACCATATCAGAAAAATGTGACCTCCGCCTTTCAGCTTGATATGTCTATGGGGACAGGAAAAGAATAGAAGTAAATACTTCAGCTCTCGCTGGTTCCTCCCTTTGACCTCACATCTCCGCTGTGCTCTACACTGACATGAGGTCAAATGGAGGAACAGAGAGATCAACAGTCCTGAGAATGTAGTTTTCCCAGCAGATTTCCACAGGACAAGAACTCATGATTACTAAAAAGTTAGTTACCAAAGAAATGTTCCAATAAATACAACACTTCTATTATACCAACATCATTGCGCCAATGTAATAAAGAGAGGAAATACACTCATTGGATGCTGCTATTATTAAAAAACTCAAATAATAATAAAAAATTTGAAAAATATACAAATCACAAATAATCATTATTTGTGATTTGTATATTTTTCACATTTTTTATTATTATTAAGAACTCATGATTAGAAGGTTATTCGACACCGAAGGCACCTGGGAAAGGTGAGCATTTACACAATTTTTTAAAGCACTTCTAAAAAATATATTTTGAGATCAGGTTGGTTGAAAGTTTACCGAAACGATTAGCCCGGTACAAACAGTGTTTACAACCGCTGCTCCCTTGGTGGATTCATTAGGCAGCCACTGTCAGGTCAGTATGTGGACAGAAGAGTCACGTCATTGTGTTCACTGATCAGCATGGAGAGATGCAGAACTCCAGGAAACCTCCAGAAAGAGCAGGGACAGTGCGCTACTTGGCACGTTTGCAGTCCTATTCAGTACAGGAAAGAAGCTTCAGAATCCCAAGAAACGAGAGCCCTGGAAGAGAATTCTGCAAAACAAGGGAGGATAGACCAACCTTTTCTTGTTATTTGAAGGAAACCAACTCCGTTTATCTGAAGAGCAGCCATTTGTCATGCTAATCCATGTGTTGTGTTTCACAATAGTAAAACGGAGAGAATTATTTCCTGTTGTTCCCGTTCTGCCAAGTCTATCACTGACAGAACACAGACAACAAACTACAACCCATGGAATTCAGTTTTGTAGATACTCTTCAGAAATCTGTCTCTTGGTAGTGCGGCAGATGGTGGAACTTTGCAATAGATCCATGTGCGTGTTGGTAAAGAATCGTCGCATGCATCTCTCCTGCAAAGTGGTGGAGTTTTTTCAGACAGGAATGCTATTTGGAGAAGTTGGGAGAGCAATGGAAACAAATCAAATATCAGTTTCAGAGCAAAAGAGGAACTTCAGTCCCTCGTAATACTGGCCCTGTAGCCCCCCCAGCACCACCATCTTTGATAATCTGGTATGTGCACAGCTGTGCTTTATCTATCAGAACCCAAAGGTGGTGTGCCAGTATTTCCTGTGCATGCACAGACACGCTGAGACCTGGGACTTCCATACCTGCTTTATCGTTGTGCATATGCCGGAAACCCTCTGTATATGTGCAGATGTGCTTTTAGACAGGTGCAGTTAGCTACTTCGCTACTAGGTGGCTCTATACTAGAATGGTGTCTGGTACAGCACATAGTGACACCAGGTGTTAGGCTCTTTTTAGCTAGATACCTCCCACAGTGATGTCAAGGGTGAGACAGCATCCACATATAAGCTAGGTGGGGAGGAACACACACGGGCGCTAAACACCCCACAACTATGATGATGTAACCAGCACTCATAGGTTAGGACTGGGCAGGAGGCTAGGTGGAGTGGACCTGTTTGCAGGGGGAGCTGCCTGTAGTCTTTTTGTTTCTCATGGAGTTGGGGGCTCGGGTAGATTGCAGAAGGCCTTTTAGGCCAGTCTGGAGATCCTTGTGTGAGGCTGCTTCCCTGGAGGGTTCCCAGGAGAGGTTTATCAAGCAAGAAGGTGACTATAGTGAGCATAATCCTGTGAATACTACTGACCGTGGGTAGAGGAAGGAGTTTAAGGGAGATGGCTTCTGAAGTGCTGCACATGCTTTCACTTGTGACTACTGCGGACTATCCACTAAATGTGATTGACTGTGTAATGTTAAGTGACTCCAAAATGTCCTTGAGATTTGACTGTATTGCCGTTCCCTGATCACCACCAGTAAAGTGCAACAAAACAACTAATTGTGTGTGCATTCCTTCCTTGGGGATATAAAGGTTTATGGTTGGGAACGTTGTGTGTGGAGTCCTGTGACAAGGAGCAGGGTACAGGATAATGGAGGGCATTTGGCCCCAGCAGGTGGGACAGTGTTCTAGTAGGGCGCCAAAACCAGCCAACCATGAAGCCCCCTCTTACTGTGCCAGGACCTAGAGCCCTGCGCCACACAATTCGACAGTACGAATGTATCCATCAGTGAAGCTGTCCCCAGAGGTGTGTAATGTGGACATCCCAGGAGGCAGCAAGGGGGTAAATCTTATGCTCAAATAGGCACAAAAAAGTTGAATATTCTAATTGTAGGAGAGGGACAGGAGAAGGCAGGTAAAAATAAGTGGTTTTATAGGGTGAAAGTCCGCGATAAAGACAAATTTTGTCAGAGAATTGTCTCAAGATGCGACAAAATAATTACAAGTGTACGCAATCAACAGTCTTTTCCAAATATGGTCTGGCATTCCTTTAGTTGTCAGCAATAGCACGATACTTTAAAAGTGTCACAAATAAGAACTACTAACCATAAAAATATCAAGATGTTTAATCTTTTCGTTGAGTACTGTCTGTGATACTTTTTTTTTAATTTGCACTAACATACAGTTTTTCAGGACAAGCTTTCGGAGTGTGTCCCTTGCTTCGAGGTCCAAGCAGTATTAATAAGCTAAAGCTGGAGATATCCCAGTTATGCCAGTAGCCAGAGG